CACACACACACACACACACACACACACACACACACACACACACACACTCACACTTCTGCCCTTCTCATCTCTGCCTGGTGTCACCACATCATACATTCAGTATTATCACGGGTTGCGCAGGTCTCCAATTTCCTGACATGTCGAGCCTCCCAAACTACAGGGACTGCCTTCCCCTGCATTGCCCACAGCACCTCCTAGCACATGAGTGGGCATGAAGGTGAGTCAGTAGAGGTTTATGAATTTGATTAACTACTTATTAGTAGCCTCCTCAGACTGACACATTAAAGCTCTCCCTCCCCACCCACCCATGTTCCCTTTCATTATTTTCTGTCTCCCCCACCCCACCCGAGATCTCCCTCCTGTCACTCCCTATGCTCATAGGAACCATGGGAGCCACAGCTAGGAGGAACCATAGAGATCAATTAGTTCCACCCAATCCATTTATAAATGGATGAGATGCTAAGCAGGGAGTAACTTACCCAAGGTCACATATGTTGTAAATAGGAGAACTGGTACTTGGACCCAGGTCTTCTGATTGCAAATCCAGAAATCCAGCATTCTTTGCACTAGACCACTGTTTCTGTTCTGCATCCACCCACCCTTCACCCACCCTAGCAAGTGCTCATTAGTCTAGTTCATGGACTTCTGGCAATCACTTAAGAATGAAAGGGTTCGGGGCAGCTAGGTGGCGCAGTGGATAGAGCACTGGCCCTGAAGTCAGAAGGACCTGAGTTCAAATCCGGCCTCAAACCAAACACTTAACACTTACTAGCTGTGTGACCCTGCACAAGTCACTTAAACCCAATTGCCTAAAAAATAAATTAAAAAAAAAAAGAATGAAAGGGTTCAACTTCCAATCAGGATTATCCATCCCTGGGGAAAAATGAACTCAAACCATGAAATGTGACTGGATCTCCACCCATGTCCCTCAGGAAAAAAACCACTACCTCTTTCCCCATCTTTTGGGTCAATCCCAATTTTTACTTATTTTTGAGAGGAAGAAGAGTTAACAACATAGAAGTCCTGATAGGCATGGGGTATGTAGCTATATGGAACCCCATAAGAAACCAGCCAGAGAGCATCCTAGGTCTCCAGCTGGACTTTCCTTTTTCCCCATCCATTCCCTTTCACCTTTTCCTTTTTCCCTGGGTTCTGGAGCTCTACGAACTACTGTTTGAAGGAAGGCCTTTTCTGTACCCAAACCCCAACCTGCTCCTGTGGGAAAAACAACAGTTCCAGAGGGAAGGGCAGCCTCCCAATCAAACTGGTGGGAGTTCTACACCTGTTGGTAAATTCAGTCCTGGGGGAGTCCATCCTTCTATGTATGCCATATCTGGGTAGGGACTCTGGGTTGGGAGATCTCTGAAATGCAGGTGACCTGCCCCACCTTCTCCATATCCCCCCTATCAGGACAGAGTATGTGAAGGGGCAGTAAAGTCACAGCTGGGTTGGCATTGGAGTAAGTCCCAAGGTCTTTGTAGCTCAAGCCCTATAAAGCTCCTTCCTGTCCCAGAGCCTGCCCCAGACAAATGAGCAGAGATGGCAGCGCTGTGGATTCTGCTGTGCCTGAGATTCCTGGGCTTTTGCTAAGGTAAGCCACACAAGATCACTTGCTCCCACTCTCAGCTCCCTCTCCTTCCTATTACCAAGTCCCTTCTTAGCTGGGGCTCTATCCACTGTGCCACCCACCGCCTCAAGGCAGCTGAGAGACTTGAACCTAGGTGTTTTGATTCCAAGTTCATTGTATCATGATGTTTCATAATTCTTGGAAATTTCCACACATCATGCTGAAGAGCCAGGCTCCTAAGACCCTCTGCCTCTCCCTAACAGTCCTTTCGATTCTGAAATTCTGTGATTTCTCCAAGGCCCAACCATGCCCAGGGCTTAATGCTCACTGAAGTCCTCCAATGCAGGACTCATGCTGAACCTTAGCTCCTAACTCCCACAAGCCCTTGCCCATCAGTTCACAGCCTTCAGTTGTCCCTTCCAACAGTCTGTATGGATAGAGAGCCATGGTGGCAGGGACTCTGGCAAGCCTCAGGAGGGAGGAATTTGGGAGACGAGGGGCAGGCAGCCTTTGTGGGGAGCAATTTAGAGCAAAGGGGTACTTCCCCATTTCCTTATCCCCCAAAACTTTCATGGTCTGTTTTCACTAGGGCACTGACCCAACCTGTGTTCATGGGTAATTCACTTAGCCTTGATGAGCCTATTTCCTCATATTTAAGAATAGTATTTATAGTTATTAAAGTTTCATAAATTTCACTTTATAAACGTAAGCCCTTATAATGGTTAAGTTATCATAGGATTGTTCTGTATCTGTCCACTACAGGTCGTGGGATCCCAGCTATCAAATCTGTTCTGAGATTCAACCAGGAGATCGTCAATGGGGAAAATGCCGTGTCGGGATCCTGGCCCTGGCAAGTGTCTCTGCAGGTAATGACTTAGCTCAGGCAAGGAAGAACAGGGAACAGAGGAGATAGAAAAAAGGGAGGGGAGTGAGAAGAGGAAGGAGTTGGGGCAGGTAGGTGGCACAGTGGATAGAGCACTGGCCCTGAAGTCAGGAGCGAGTTCAAATCTAACTTCAGACACATAATACTTACTAGCTGTGTGACTCTGGGCGAGTTATTTAACCCCAATTGCTTCACACACACCCCCCAAAAAAAGAAGAGAGGGACTTTTCTCAGCCCAGATGGACAGTTCCTTGACCCCCACTCTACCATTTCAGGAGTATAGTTTTGGGAAAGAGGGAAGAATCTTTGTATTGGGAAGAGGCAGAGACATGGTATGATTCCAAGACAGGGAGACCACTGCCTGGACAAAACCTTTTTCCTCTATTAATAACTCATATTCATGTAATACTTTGCTCACAAGAACCCTTGTAAGCAGATAATACATTTATATATAAGGAAACCGAGGCTGAAAGGAGGTAACTTGTCCAAAGATACTCCAGTGCTGGGAGGGATGGCTGACACAGTGGATGACAGACTCAGAATCCAAAGAAAGATCCTGACAGCCTAGAGCACTGGGTCGAATCTAGTAAGATGAAATTCAATAAGAATAAATGTAAAGACTTCAACTTGGGCTCAAAAAATTAACTTCACAAGTACAGGATGGGGGAGACACGGCTTGGACGCGATTTGTCTTAAGTCTGCGGAGGGGCAGGGCAGGGTTGGTTAATGAGTCAGTACTGTGACATGACAGCTGAAAAAGCTAGCGTGATCTTGGGCTGCATTAAGATGGATACAGAGTGATCGTTCCTCTAGTCTGCCTTGATCAGACCATGTCTAAATAAAGTATTGTGTTAGGTTTTGGAAAGCACAGTTTAAAGAGCCTGATAAGATGGGGTTTGGGGGGCAGAGTGGCCAGATGGTGAAGACCAGAAAAGGAACTGGGCATGTGAATGCTATTTACATTCATTCTGAGCCAATCAGGGCTCAAGTAATGACCAAGTGGGGCTGGGACCTATGATTGGCCAATCAGTGAGAGACAGTGATTTAGGGTTAAGGCTGGTCTTTAAGAGAAAAAGGAGAAAAAAATGTTTCAAAGATTAAAAATTTACATTCCCTTTGGGCAGAGCCCTGGAAGGAGACAAGAAGATATGTGTGATACCTTATGTGGACAGAGTGAAAGAAATGAAAAAGGAAGGAGGAAAAGAAAGAAGGAAGGAAAGAAGGAAGGTACATGTGGCCTCAAGGCTGTAGATTCCCCACTCCTGAATTAGACTCTGTCCCAAAACCCAATAGGCTGCCTGAGCTCCTTTCATTTGAAGTGTCACTTTCCTGGAGTCACTTCCAACTCTAAATTCGTGGATTCCTTTTACAGATGAGGCTCAGAAAAGTTATGTGACTTGTCTAAAGTCATGCAGCTAGTAAGCAGCTGGGCCAGGATTCAAACTCAAAATCCAGAGTTCTTACCGCTAAAATGAACAAAGCTAGTAAGTAGCAGAAGCAGGTTCACATCCATACCCAATGTTCTTGGAGCTTCAGCACGTGGCCTCCCCAAAGAGGGGCATACCCTCTGCATACTGATACACGTTCGTGATTTTAGCCTGTGAGCTTACCTATAAACCTAATGGGCTGTTCCCTTCTCTCCTCCTCTCTACAGGAGCAAAATGGTTTTCACTTCTGTGGAGGTTCCCTCATCACCCAAAACTGGGTCATCACAGCTGCCCACTGCAATGTGAGGTAAGGGCCCTAAAGCCACATTCCTTCAAAGTCACAGGAACTGAGGCCCCTGCAGAGGAGCTGACCATCCCAAGTTCAATAGTTTTGTCTCTCTGTCCTGGCCCACATCCCCCTTCCACAGCTATGCCAGCCCTAGACCCATTTCTTCAGGCCCAAAGGGGATCCATTTCCTTTTATACCTGCCTATTCCCACATTTCATTCTTGCCACAGCCCAAGCCACCACCTGGTTGTCCTTGGAGAATATGACCGGTCATCTAATGCAGAACCTGTTCAGGTCAGGACTATCTCAAAGGTGAGCATCTGGAATGAACCGGCCCAACAGGTCTCGGCCTTCTGAAGTGGGGAGATGCTGAACTGAGGTTAGGTAATTGCCAGGGCCCAGCCCTCACCACCTAAGTCAAAGGGAAAGAGGGGACCTAGGCACCCAGACCTGTACCTTGTAGAGATCTATGGTCCAATTCATTTCTAGTTATTCTTCTCAATCTCCACAAGATCAAGTCCTGAACCCAAAGCAGCCTTGTTCACTCAACCACCCTACATCTAAGTGTCCCCTATCCTACCACTGTCCACCAGGCCTTGCCAGGGAAGACCCTTGAGACTTCACCCCGACTCCTGTGTCCATAGGGCCCTATCCAACCTCATTGATAATGGTTCCCCACAGATCATCACCTACCCTGGCTGGAATCCCAATACTATGAACAATGATCTCACTCTGCTGAAGCCGTCCTCACCTGTCCAATTCACTTCCCGAATATCTCCCGTGTGTCTGGCCACAGACATCAACATCCCTCAGGACATCACCTGCGTCACTTCAGGCTGGGGCCACACCAGTGGTGTAGGTATGTGAAGAGGAAGCTTCAGAATGAATGGGACTTCTATTGGGGCACCCAGAGGAACAATGCTGTGTGTGAACCCGCATAAGGGCTCTGGGGCCATGTGGCAGGATGTTCAGCCCCGGGGTTCATTAGAAGAATGTAGTGAAAGACTTTTGCTTCTACTCACAGCCAACATCACCCCAGCTCGGCTCCAGCAGGTGGTTCTGCCCCTGGTGACAGTACATCAGTGCCAGCAGTATTGGGGCGGCCGCATCACAGATGCCACGGTCTGTGCAGGAAGCTCTGGCGCCTCTTCCTGCCAGGTAATTTGAAGGCTCCTGGTGCTGCCCCTGGGGCTGAGGTGGCCCCCAAAGCATCAACCCAAAACGGGTTCTCAGATCAGAATCTCAACTCCTCCTTTTCCCCAGGATTCTCCACTGTTTACTCCTAAGAGCCAAAATTGTTCTCAGGATGAACCAGAGGCTCCTTCAAAGCTCCAATCACCCACTACCCTTTAGGCCTCTACGTCAGCCACCTCCAAGCCTTCCCAGCTCCCCGCTCACCTGCCTTCATCCTCTTCCCTTCTCTCCAGGGTGATTCTGGAGGCCCCCTCGTGTGCCGGCTAAACAACCTGCAGGAAGCACCCCGGGTCCAAGTCGGTAGCGTCTCCTGGAGGACGAGCACCCGCCACGTACACACGCATCAGCACATTCGGTTCTTGGATCTATCGGATGGTGGCAAACAACTAAAGAGCTTAAAGAAGGGGCACAAATCCAAATGCCCTTCCTCCCTATGCCCAGAAGCACAGTAAATTCCCTGTCTGCTCGCAAGTCTGGGCTATTTTTCCCCTCAGGCTCTTCCTTTACTCTAGCCAGCAGATGTGGGAGCCGGCTGGCCAGGATGAGATGAAAGAAGCCAGAGGTCGTTCCTAGCACTCCACACGACTCCACCTGCTCTGGGACACTGCTAAGGCATTATGCTGCATCTGGGGCTGAGCCAAGATGACCTCATGGGGCTTAGGACTTGGCCCTAGCACCATCAGAAAGGAAATCTGAGACTGGCGAAGGAAGCAATGCATTTCAGCACAAGTGAAGTGGGACAGGGAGACCTTAGGGTGAGAGGAGCGGCTTCTCCCAAAAGACTCTAGGGTCACCTCACACTCCCTACCATTCCTCATCGGGGTTCTCCTCAATTCAAGGTATCCACGTCCCACAGTGGACAGAGCACTGGGCCCTGAGTCAGGAAGACCTGAGTTCAAATGCGATCTCAGATGCTGGCTAGTTGTGTGACACTGGGCAAATCCCTTAACCTCTGTTAGCCTCAGTTTCCTCATCTGCAAAATGGGGAAAACAACTGCATCTACCTCCCAAGATTGTTGAGAGTCAAATGAGATAGTAATTATAAAGCACTTAGCACAATACCTGGCACATAGTTAAGTGCTGTATAAATGTTCATTGTTATTATTATCATTATTATTATTATCCCACCCTCTCTTCTTGCCCCTTTCCCCTACCCCAAACCCAGTAAACAGTCATGGCTCACAGGGATGAAACAGTCATCCTGGGGGAAGACTGCAGGTTTATTGAATACGCAAGATACATTTGCAAAATGAGTACACAAAATAAATAACTTTATACATTCTCAATCCAATGGCACAAGCTCCCAGGGAACAACAGTATGAGGGGCTTTTTTTAATGTCAAGGGGAGGAGACAAAGAACAAATGTCTCAAACCCACAAATATACAGTTATCCTGCCTCTCATGGGTTGGGGTGGGGACGGGGATGGGAGGGGGAGGCGTCTGGGTCCAAGAAGGATCAATTGGCAAAGATGTGGGGTAGTGGTGTGTAGGTAGTAGGACTGGCAACCGAGAAAGTCCGATGAAGGGACAGGCTCCCCAAAGAGATCCCTGGGAACTAAGTGACAGAAGAAAGGTACAGGAAGCTTTCACCCAGTCATCTCCCTTCCCCTAACCAGAACAGACCCATTGACTCTTCCAGGGTAAGGGCTCCTGGTGGCAGAACAGAAAGTAGGCAAAAGAGGTATGGGAGCAAAGAAGCTCTCGGCCCACATCTGGGATCTGCTTTGCAGTCCCTTAGGTCTCTAACTGCTGTCCAGCACTCCAGGAAGTTGGGAAAGTGGCTGAGATCTCTCCTGGCTATGGGAGCATCTGTCTTTGGGACAGAAAACTGGGCCTGAAAGTCACTGGGCTGTCAGAGGAAAGCAGAATGGCAGGTGACATGGCCCAGGAGAACAATCTCTAGGTTCCCCAGGTCTTGGAGAAGGCACTCCGTGACACATGGCTCTCTCACTGGCACAAATGTGCACTTGCACACACAACATACAAAGTCACTTTGGCTTGGTTTTCCTGCTGGTACCAAGGAATCACCAGGAGAGGAGGCCTGGTCCTTGGCACTGCTGGTCAGAGTTGGCAACAATGTCCATACGAATAGTTTTTGTCTTTTTGGTGTTGGTTTGTTTTAAATAAAGAACAGTGTTCCATGAGATCTTTATGGGCCAGAGATACAGGAGAATATACACTTGTTTTCTTGGCAGAAGCCCCTACCCTAAGTGCCATGGGGGGTCTTATTAAGAAGGCAGCTTGGCTCCTCTACTAGAAATTAAGCCCTAGCCCCTTCTTAGATTTGCTGAGCACAGTTTCAGTTTACAAACAGGCAAGAAAAACTGAGAGGAACCCCCTAAAATGGGCTCTATTGTTCCATCTTAGCTGCAAGCCAGACAAAGTTTGCAAGTCCGTGCATTTAAGAGGAGTCAGAGATGTTTAAGCAGACAATATAGTCTGGTCAGGACTGAGAGTATACAGTCCCAAATGGGCCATGTTGGGGGAGCCAGCCCCCCTCCATCCCAGCCCTGCAGTTTCACCTCGGGGCACTGGGACCTCCCTGACCCCTTTTCTGCAGGGCTGGGCAGATTCACACAGTATTGCTAAGTTCCACAAGAAATTTCTTAAGGACAGGCTTCCAGAGGGGAAGGGAAGGAGATGGAAGAATGAATGAAGCTATCACTAAACCCTTCCCTCAGAATTCCCTCATTCCTCAGGCAGCAGAATTCCAGCTCCAGAACCTCCTGTCAGGCCCCATGGTGGCTGCTTCCCGGGCTCACGGCCCATCCATATCCCAAGTAGCCACCAGGTGTCAGTTAGACTTTGTCCATGGAAGACTGGTTCATTTAGTGGGCAAACCCTGACACACAAGCCAAAAGAGCCCTGAAACATCCTGCCTGCAGGGTATAATGGAAAAAGTAAGCTAGACAGATGAGCTCTGAAGAGTATAGAGGAAACTAGGCAGGGACACAGGGTCTACATTGTGACAGCAGAGACAGCACCTGGGGGCAGGGGGAAGAGGTAACACTCCCCCAGTCTTGTAGCCGTCCCTGAAGTGAGTGAAGTGGAGGTGGGTGAACCCTTGAACCCTGGAAAATGGAGGCAGGGCACAACTCCTCCCCCAAGGACAAGACAGGAATGGGGAAATGTGCATTGGCAGTTTTCTAGGGGAAGGAAAGACTGGTAGCCACAGCTGTGTTTAGAGGCCAAGGTGATTCACCTCAGTCTGCCTTGAAGAGACCACCTTCAGCTGTTTTTCCCTTCAAGCCAAATACCCACAATAGGCAGGAAAACCAGCTGCTGCCCTCTTCTTTCCTGGTTACGGGTCAGGCTATCTGCCCCTCGCACTGCCAGAGCTAAGGACTCGTTAGGTTCAGGTTTCCCTTTATACACCATCCCTGGGAGAAATCAGACGAAAGGAAAGAGGACCAGGACCACACTGGAATATCATAAGACACTTGGACTCCTGGAATCAGCTGGGTACCAGGTCTGCCTTGAAACAATCACTATACATGTTAAAGCACCCTCCCAAGGGAAGGCAAACAGCTAGGTGACACAGCGGATAGAGCACCTGGAGTCAGAAAGATCTGAGTTCAAATGTGACCTCTGCCACTTACTAGCTGGGTGCCCCTGGGCAAGTCACTTCACCCTGTCTGCCTCAGTTCCCTCATCTGTAAAATGAGCTGGAGGAGGAAATGGCAAACCATTCCAGTATCTTTGCCAAGAGAATCCTAAAAAGAGGTCTTAAAGAGTCTGACAAGGCTAAAAACAACTAAACAACAAAACAACCCAGGGGAAGGAAGCAGGTTGCCTTAAGGGATGGAATGATCAGGATGGCTACATGTACTCCATAATCCTTTTTTCACATCTACATACTTCTATATAAAGGAAGATCCCATAGAAAGCTAGGCCCCACCCAGGCCCCTGAGTGGAGGCTTAGTTTCCCTCCTCCATGCCATTCCCACCCTAGAGCCCCCAAAGTAGAGCATATTCTTGCCTTAGGAAAGAACACTCACATCCTGGCAGATTCTCTGGCTCCCCCCAGGCACTTCCCCTCTGAGTCACTACTGATCACTTACTCCAGCCCAGGGGAGCTTACCACAAAGACAATTCCATTTCCTGCTGGTTACAGGGGTGGTACTACTGATCAGAAAGGGTACTCTGGTGCCAAGGACATGCTATAGATATCAGCTCTAACTTCAGTGTTTCCTTCTCTACTTCTGGACAGTCAGAACCGAAACATGCTCTGAGCCAGCTGGGTCCTCCCAGGGAATGGAGGGAGAAGAAAAGGAAGGGAAAGGGATAAGAGTAGATATCTGGGCAAGTTTCCCTGTTGAGCCTTCAAAGAAGCACAAAAGCCAAAGGGAACTTATTTGACACCAGGGGGCTCTCATGTACTAGCCCCATCTGGCTCCAAGTGAATGGAAAAGAATAAGGAGGCCTGGGGTTTTGGTTAAAAAAAAAAACAAAAAACAAAAAAACAAACACCTCTCCTGAGAAGGATTTGGGGCATTACCACCCAATAATGCAGCCTGCAAGGAGGCGCACCCCTTACCCCAAGCCAACAGCCTGGCCCATGGAATATCACACCTACAAGGACCGTCTCTAGGTAGGAATAGCAAGGAGACAGGACAGGGGGACTGGAGTCAAGGAAGGAGGGACAAGGGACTTCCCTTTCTTTAAACTGCCCCGGGAAGCTCTGCTTCCAATACTTGCCCCACCACAGTAAGATGCTCCTAGTCTAGTCTTGGTCCCCTGCCCCCACCTGTGCTTTCTGCAGTTCTGACACAGCAGGAAGCTCTTAGGTAGTTGAGTCATAACCACTCAGTACTCCAACCTCTCAGGAAAGGTGGGCACACAACAGAAATACCATCTGTCCTTCGTCATCTGACAGGGGCTCTTGATACAGACAAGCATGCCACCTATACATGCAGGATGGGTGTGGGCAGACAAACTCAGTCCTTAGAATCTGGCATTAATAAATAATATGGGGCACCCCAGCCCCAACAGGCTTTTCTTCTTCTGGGGGCCCTCACGAGCTTGGGGGGTGGCACAAGGCACTTAAGACAGTGGACGTCTGGCAAAGGGATGGGAGTCTATTGTGTAGCCCCAGACCCTTCCCCAAGTGAGAAGCCTGCTCCTGCTCCCTGGGCACCGGGTCCCACTGCCACTTCCCTAAGGTGTATGTGAGAAGACCTCAGGTGTGCAAGGAGAGCTGGCGGCTCAGCCATTATACTGCTGCTGGTAGCGCAGGTTGAGCTCTCGAAGTTCCCGCTCACGCACACGCCGAGACTTGTTGGACTTAGTGGAGCGGCTCGAGCGTGTGGACTGAGCGGACTTGGTGCTCTGGCAGCGAGAGGATGCCCTCTTGAGAAGATTCTGGGAAATTGATCGGTGAAGATTCTTCATGGACGAAGAGGCAGCCATGCTCACCACCCACGGGTGTTTCAAGGCTTGGAGAGCTGTCATCCTGGCGCCAGGATCCACAGTTAGCAGACGGTCAATGAAATCCTTCGCCAAATTTGATACACTGGGCCAGGGCTGGGAAAGCAGAGGGAAACCAGTTAGGGCCAAAGAAAATCTGGTGATCTTGGCAGAGTATAAAGATGACTAGATTTGAGAGTCAGAGGATCTGAGTTCAAATCTACCAACTTTCTACCTACATGATCTTTAGACAAATCATAATTTGTGTTTCAATTTCTACACCTAAAAAATGAGGGTCACTCTGTGACTTCTGAGGTCCCTTTCTATCGTAAATCTTCTAAGAGAGTCAGTTCCTTTCCAACTATAAATTCTGAGGGCCTCCATGGTTGACACTAGGTGCCTGTCCTGGTCGAGGAAATGTGGCAATCCCGACAGTGTTACACAGCAGCTGTCCCGCTCTGAGCTCCCAGGCCTCTGGCAAAGCTGCCTTTAAAATCCAGGGAGCCAGGCCTGGTA